ATCAAGTGTTCGAAACAAAAGCAAAGACTTTTGAGAGCCATGGATTCCAACATTCGACCTCGTGTGTCTGTCAGCGCTTTTCCACTAGGCCATTGGCCGCTCTACGCAAGAAGTCATCGTTCTCAACTTGAGCAAACAGAGCAAAGATTAAATGGTCCGTAACTCCCTTCAGAGAATCGTTCCGCAAATTCGGAGGGCAGATTTGGATTCAGCGGCTCAAGACACGTCCATATATATACATCTCATTGCAAATGGCCGGATCGACCTGTTGGGGTTCCCTTGTAAGCAATTGACCTTTTCTGAAGTCATCCCTGAATATCACCCGCAATCTTTGTATAGAGCAGTAAATTACATTCGCCTCAACTCAAGCCGTGATCAGCAATACTCAAATAGAATAGGAAATGCGTCAACACATTTCTTAATATCACGTTTTGGTCAGTTTGGTTGAAGAAGGTCAACAGGTGCCGGTTTGTTTATCCAACTGGTTACTCAGGGCCTGAGTCTTACGCCTGGGGTTCGTATTTAGATCAAAGAGGCAGCTACTTCGGTCCCGCCCCGGAATAAGCACGATTAGTTGCGTTGCCTGAGTTGACCTTTCATCAAATGTTATCACTCTTAAATTACTATAAGTCAGTATTGTGTTGAACACTGTTCGAAAATTCTCATCTGTATAACTGGTTGATTGTGGCGACACCGTTCCCTGCTATATTCTTTTCAACTTCAGAATCATGTGGGCACGTGGTTTAGAGTTATATTGGCGAGTAACTTTTACGCTTTGTTAATGTGTATTCTAGCTGATTGTTTCTCTTTTGCAAAAGAGCACCTTGAGTGCAATATTAGGTAAATAAATTAATAATTAATTGATTAATAAATATCAATAAAATTACACCTTTCCACCACCTCTGCGCAGAAGCGTAATGCACGGCGCACAATCGGACCGAATCGATCGATGGTAATCAGATAATGCTTTGACTCAGATAGTTTGTGTTTTGAAGGCATATTGGAGTTCGCGAATGAGTATCCTTCAATGGCACTAAAGTAGTCGAGCTTTTGAGTAACTCAGAATGTCGTCCAAGGGCGTCCTATCTGAAATATCTTCTAAACTAACAGGGTCTTTAGGGAAACTGTAGAGCTTGTTGGGAAGAGGAATATTGGGCATTCTGATGGAATTTTTTTTGTTTTGCAGAAGACTGCCTTTCAAAGAAGCTACATATTCTCATTTAGTGCATAAAAACCCCCACTAGCGATTTACAGTCCTCATCATTGCGGACTGTCGGAGGGCGGCTGTGCAACGCGGTCCAAATGGGCGTTCGGCCTCGTTGCTCTACCAATGGCGATCGGGTAAAGATCGATTTAGGGAGGGAGCAACCAATGCGCCGCAGGTGCGAGCCGCTGATTGCGACCCGACAATTGCGGTGATGTAAAGTGTACCATCAATGCGTCCACAACCCATTTGAGATAATTCGCGAAAGGGGAAGATTCAGATAGCGAGTATAGAATACGAAACAGTAGAGACATTGCTTCAACATGCCTTGCGTTTCTCAAAGCGTTACGTATCTACTTTTCGTCAGAGCAAACAACTAGAGCCAAAAAGGGGGGGGGTCGTACCAGGGACCGTTTCGGGGGGAGGGGGGGGAAGGCAGAGTTTGTACTGACACCGCCGTTTTACACATCACGATACTGCGCCCTGATCAACTTGCGAACTACAGTAAGGACGACGTTCGCTATGACAGTTTTGACTTATGCGACAGGATGAGACTCAAGTGAGACTCAATCGTCCTTACTAGTCCTACTAAAACACAGCAAGAGCTAGGCTACTCGCGACGAAACCTTCGATGGGTTACTCGCAGTTATTACGGCATTGTTCAGAAACGTTTGCGACACTACGTCGGAAACGCTAGAGTGGGGAAGGCGTTTGGTCGGGTAGGTAACAAATTAAAAGCTTCGAGCCATTTTCAGGCCTCTGAAGAAGACGAGAAGGTCGAAACGTCAGATAAAAAGGTTTCATCTAACAACGTCTTTTAGCAGAAGCAACTGAATACTTGCTCAAAGTATCCCTTCAGAGTAGCATAGTAAGGAGAAAGTATGATCATTTCCGACAGAAGGATTGAGGTTTTGATAGATTTCTATTTTGCGTTTCTTCTGGTGCGTTGGAAGGTATAAAATGTAGTGGTACATCCCATTTTCAATTCTATCTTCTCCTGAGTTACTTAATGCCAAACAATGGGTTTACATCGGATTTCATTTTGGTTTCTGTTATCTTTGTCCCCGATTTACAAATTTGAAGAATTTTAAAGTTGTCATAAATTTTTACAGATCTTTCCTTACTTTGCCAATTCTGAACTTCTTTTATCGCATCGCTTATCATCATATTCAACAGCTCATAAATACCAATCAGGCTTTGCTTCCGAGCCTAGCCGGTCTCTCACCCTTTCATTTCCTACTTCAGGTGCCGGTGTGGCCTGCGAGATCAGAGGTGATGATCATAATGATCATGTCGTGACCTACCGCGTTGGTTGTCGACTATATCGACTGTGGCGCCCAAAAAGGGCGGGAACTGTCGACGCGGGGCCCTCGAGTTGCAGTGCAGCCAGGGTCCACTCTCGTTCTTTCTATCTGTTGAAACCTGCCAATCATCTACAAGATTCGCCCAGTGGAATTCTGGCAAAGATGTTCCTGTTGCAGATTAGCCGCTGCAGATGACCGCTCAAGGTCCAGCCGCCAGCAGCCCCGACTCAGACCATTCTTCCGCCTCTTCGATCTTGCAGGAGAGAACAGTGGCCGGCAACTCTCGGTCAAGGTCAACGTCTCGTGAGAGGAGCGTTGACAAGGGGAGCGGTAGAATCTACAGCTCACCACTAATCCGGTGCCGGATATCCGCATTACGAGAAGGGATGAGTTTTGTTCAGCCAAGGACGAGGTACCAGCGCCTCCAGCAGTGCCGCAGAAGACACTCCGGGTAAGAGTATCTATTTCGGAGATGAGTAATTGGCTCGAGCAGTCTCTTCAGATTTTGTGGTACCCTGGCGTTTCGTTCCTTCACAGCAAGAATGCCTTTGAGCCACGCCGAGAGATCTACCTTGCTTGGAGATCTGCCTCTCCTTTTGGGGAGGTACCAGCGATCGACGAACAGCTTCCATGGGACAACACCGTGCCATCCTCATACGCGAACCGAACTCCACACTTTACACGAGACATTGCTAAATGTTCTCAACATAGTGGAGCTGATCCGAAAACTGGGCTCGGACGGACAAGGAAGCGCCTTCGCAGCCTCGGTGATCGGATATATCGAAATACTGGACACCCTTGTGTCCCTGGTGGACCTAATTATACTTCGCAGAGAACGGTCCCTCGAAGCACTGGGAGTTGAACCGAGGAGAGCGATGACTTCGTATCGCAGACTACCACTAGCGGGCTCAACTATGGTGCATCACGTGCGTCAGGCACCGATCCCGGACTTGTTTGGGAAGGAACTGCGCGATGAACAAGCTTCCGCCATGACAAAATCATTGGAGAACTGAGAGCGCAGAGCGCCAAGAAGAGAAAGGCTACACCACCGCGTCATTCGAAGGACAGGTTGGTCTCGTCAGACGGTTCTTTCTCTCATTTGCCGCTTGTTTCGATTTCCGATAGAGAGTCGGTTTGGAGTCGGAGAGTCGGTTTTGTAGCCTTTAGTCCACATACTGGTCGCATAGCGGGTAGGCTAGCTGACTTTCTAGAAGCATGCCCGACGATTTCGTCAGATCCCTTCATATTAGAAACCATAAAGGGAAACCGGATTCCTTTTGGTAGTACTAAACCTTGCCTTTCACTTCCGTTGTGTCAAATTCTAGCGACTCCCGCCAATCTTGCGGACGAGTTATCTTTACTCAGAGAAAAGGAGGTTATAGAGAGGCTCTCCTTAACTCTCAAGTTTGGGTCTCTTCAATGCCTGGTAATCCCAGAAAGATGGCTCCACAAGACCCATAATAAATCCGAGGCCGCTCAATGCCTATCTTGATATCCTCCCATTTCAAAATGGACAATTTGCACACTGTAGCAGACGTGGCATTCAAAGGGGATTTCTGTGCCAAAATCGATATACGAGACCCTTTTTCGCAATCAACATATCTACAGAACACAGAAATAACCTGGCGTTTTGGTGGGACCAGACACTGTGCAGATTCACCTGCTTACTAAGTGTCAATTTTTAGTTTTGTCGTATTAGATATTATGTATTCTTAAGTGTTGTACGTATAACAAGGCACTTTTTACAATTTGTATTGCAATATTTTGCTTCATTATTGTTACCAAAGTTATCTAGTTTATATACGTTGTTCACCTTACTTTTATAAAATGTTTTAGTGAGTGCTTAATACAAAGGTAGTACTGGACCGTAATGGAAGTATTTGGGGGGCCCAACCCATATACTAGGAGGGAAGTTTAAAGGGGACACCTAGGCACTTGCAAGCCTGAATGCATCTTAGATTGATGAAGGATTGGGTTGATTTGACTATGGTTGACCCTTTCGAGGGCGTGGTACCTACCCCCAAGCTAAGTATCCACTTGTCTAACCCTATCGAAAGAGTCCCTATTGTTAAAGGGGTGTGGTCCCCATGTTTAAAGAGATGTTTCAGTTGAGTTTGTTAAATTGGTGATGAAGAGAATGTAGATGAAATTGTTATAGAGATGTTTTCTGTTACCATTTTTGTACAGTGCAGTATTACTTTTCCATTTTGTTAATAAGATTTGTATGTTTTGTAATAGTTTGATATTACTCATTTTTAGGTTCCTATCAATTCAAAGAGAAGAGAAAATTCCCAAGATACATAAACAAGCGAGTTTTAATTGAGTGGGTCCGTATTACTGGTCTAGACAATAAGGCGAAATGGAAACTGGACCGACTCGTCGCTTATCTGGCTAATATCATAACAGGGTGGGTATACTCATCGTTTGAGTCAATCTTTCATCTACATAAACTATTAATATCTGTCTTTTTAGTTATTCTGCTAATACAGATAATGCCTTCTCGTGGCCAACTTACGCCGGTGTTAGTGGCAACATACCAGCTTACCGTGTATGATGTATTAACCCAATGAATCTTAACTTAGACTTATCTTAATGAAATTCAGGCAAAGGTCTCATACAAATACTGGAAGTATTTTATGGCTGAGGAACGTAGGAAGCCTGCTGACTATAATAAAGAGCATGGTACAAAAATAGCCATTATCAAAGAAGAGGCACTATGGAATCAGAACAGCAACAACCTTGGGTATGTAAATTAGAGTGTAGCTAAGGCTACGTGATCTGGGCAGGCAGATCAAGGCAGTCAGTAGGTGGTCTTTCAGATCGTAGAGCAGACTATTATTCTATCTACAGTAGGGTATATAAAGAGTAGTTGACTACTAGGTTTATTACAGCTGTACGCCAGCAACCGACTATCGCCTCCGGCAATCGACTATCGCCTCCGGAATTCGCTCAAGACCACCGATATTGCTCTTCCTCAATACGGGACTACCAAGGAGTACGAGTTCGACTAATTTCTTCACAGATATTCGTGTTAACTAATAAAGTTGTGTTACTATTTGGGCTCTATTACAGTCCAAATCACACGTGGCAAATAAGGGGATTCACCGCCTACAGCAATACACCACTGAACCACATAGAGTTTAGCTTTGCTTGTTTCAATGTTTAATAATGTAATATGTAAATTCTAGATTACTTGTCAGAAATAAGCTGTATTCAATATATGCTTCCAAGAAAATCAAGGCGCCTGACATATCCGTGAAGAGAGGCCAGCTTTACATCGGAAAGAATATGGTGATTACTTTTCTTATAATATAATTCAACTACAGATAAACCTGCCATTGTTGCCATCAGCCTGAATTTGAGTCTTCCGGAGTGGAAGGGCTCACCATTAGAGGAGTTACTGAATGAAAATGAAAAAAAAGGACTTTTCGGCTGGTAAACTGAAAGATAGCGTAATCCTGCTTCCAAAGTGCATATTAGATGTTTCAATATTTTTTCGTTTACGTATGATTGAACTTCTATTGATTCTTTCTTGCTCCTCGCTAAGAGACTTGTCGAGGTAAGTAGTACAGAGGGACGTGGCAAATACGATGAACATTCTACTAGATCTGCTGCACTTGATGTTGGCGATATTAGTAAAGTGAATTAGAGTTATAGTATTAGCATATTTTTATTGTGTTCAATTGTGAAATTAGAAGATGAATGGAACTTTATTTTAATATGAATTTTGCGTTGTTTGCCGAAGCTAAAGAATAAATATTTTGTTTAAAGAAAGCGTTTTGATGTTAAGATATTAGGTTATTTAATTAAGTTACGTCAGTGGGACTTATGACGATCATTGGTCGAGTCTGAAGAAGGTTACGTCAAATTGGAGTATAACGACCGTGGGTCGATACTGAAGATATGTTCACGTCTATGTGACGTAAGTCGAACATGGGTCGAAATTGAAGACTAGAGTGTATTAATGTGATGTGAGATGTTCATGAGTGAGATGAATTTATAGTCAATGTGAGAAGTTCATGAGTGAGATGGAGTGATAGTAATTTAACAAACTATTTATTTGTTTGAGAATTTGTGTGGATAATTTTTATAAATGTCTATTTTCCCTTCCCAAGTACTAGCATGGAGACTTCGTTCTCTCTGCTTCTGAGACACGCAGTAAAACAACAGGTCTGGCCGAAATGCAGCGTACGACCGCTCCTGTTCAATGCTCAAGGGCAGGGACATCCTCTGCTAGCACGGAAAAACTTCGCGTTACTAGCCTGGAGGATCTCGCTAAATCTTGGGCCGCTGCGGGATGCAACCAACAGACGGTTGATACTATCTTGGCCAGCTGGGCTCCAAATACTAGACGGCAGTACGCCTCCCCTCTGGATAATTGGCACATCTACCTCGCACAGGTAGGAACCGAACAAGCTGCTGCTAACCACATAACCCTCTGCAATTTCCTAGCCTCGTTGGCGGATAAGGTAATGAGCCATTCATCTGTTGCATCTCACAAGGCGGCGGTTGCCACTCAGACTTGCTGTTTAGGGCCACCTGAGGAGAAGATCCCCTCGTGGTGAGATCCATGAAAGGCTTCTTCCGTGCCAACCCTCCTAAGGCCAATTATTACTCTACGTGGGTGTCAGAGATATTTTCCTTTTCCCTGGGAAGTCTCCAAAGGAGCGCTCATCGCTGGGTGTTCTTTATCGACTATCGAAACCAAAACCGCAGGTATGGTCCACCTCAGTCAGCCGTGTACGAAGGCATACGAAGATAGCTCCTCTGTCCCGTTGAAATCTTACAACAGTATCTCACAGCAACGGAAATATTCTGCGGTCGAGAGCAGGCACTCTTACTCTCTTACGCTTCACCTCACAGACCAATCTCCGCGGCCACCGTAGCTAGGTGGATTGAGACGGTACTAGTTTGAGCCGGGGTAGGAGGTGACTTCTCAGCTCATTCAACACGCTCCGCAGGCACATCCAAAGCATACAAGCACGGCGTGTCACTAGAGACAATAATGAAGTGGCCGCGTGGGCTCCAGGGAGTTCAACCTTTCGCAACTTCTACCAGAGAAAGCCTTTGCGAACTCCTGTCAGAAATCGATTCTGAGGTGATTTGAACGAGCCTAATTGATATTTATGAGCTGTTGATTATATTATAATCAGTCGGATCACCCGGCTGCCGCCGGGTGCTCCTCCTTCTTTGTCACGGCCTGGCTTCGCCAGGCACTCTTTCGAGGCGAGGTAGAGTGTGCAAAATACGCCTAACCGTCACAGTGCATTTTCCAGCAAAATGTAGAAAAATAATTGAAAATAGCTCGAGCAATGGGTTAAGTTGAATCAGGCGAGAGGATCGTGCAACATACAGCGCTTTGTTACTTCCGAAATTCTAATGACATCAAAAGAAAGAACTACACCGAGATACTTGACAGTGAATCGTTAAAAAGTGGTAAGAAATGTGACGAAATTTGATTTTCATCAAATTTAATCAATTGGTATGATTACTTACCACACGTCGTCCTTCCACAAAAAATTCCTTGAACAACGATGACCGCAAGGCCTCTTATCAGTCCCTATCAGTTGTTATGGCTTTTTGTCACCCACCGTTCCTGACCCCATTTCACCCCTATATCACCTGCTGGAACCAACGCTGACTCTGCGACCCACGGTATGGAAACAGTGGCCTTATCTTTCTGACGCCCCTTATCCAATCTTATCAGATGCTGGCAGTTTTTGTCACCAACCTAGTGTTCCTTTCCTAAACCCTACATCGTATCTTGGAACCAACCTCCTACTGTTGCTGTGACTCGCGTGATGGACTCAGTGACCATACCCTTCTAACATCCCTCGAATCTTATCAGCAGCTGACAGTTCTTGTCATCCACCAATAATGTTCCTGTCCCATACCCTACATCATATGTTGGAATCAACACCTGGCTGATGCTGTGACCCGCATTACGAATATGGTGAGAGTCCCCTTCTGAGGCCTCTTATCAGATATTATCAACTGATATCAACTTCACTCCTATCACCCACCAATAGTGTTCCCGTCACACCCTCTACGTCACTTCTTGGAACCAATATCTCGCTGCTACTGGGAGCGGCGCTATGAATTTCGTGTCAAAGAGACAGACGCACACGCACGGACATAGCCGATTATATATGGTAGAATTGTAACCGTTGTCCCAATGTAGCGCTGAAATCTATCCTTTTGTCCATTCTTTTCTCGGAGTTAGTACCAAAAATCTCCATAACCCTCACACGAAAATTCAGCAACCTGTTAGAGCAGCCTTTGAAGCATCCTACCGCTTGATGCGTTCTCCACTACTGCAGGTTTCTTTTTCTGGAATGCACTCCCGCATTCGGGCAGTTTAACGCTTCGAATGGTCCTCTCTCAGGTTGTTGATGAAAGATAGTCATAGTGATAAAGCCAGTTGCTGCTGTTCATGGCAACTGAGTAAACAACCGTCATGCATCTGAACTCCGGTTGCTTTAGCGGCCGTACATGATGTCGATAGCGGTAAGAGCATAGGAGTGAGTTGTGTACGAACTACTGAGAGCCTGATACCTGAATCATATCAATCGCATTATGGCAGTAAGCGGTGTTGCGGATCATGATGACGCTTTCAACCCTTATCAGTTGCTGTCACTTAGTGTCACCGTCAGTGGGTTCCGCCCCCTCCCCCTATACCACTTTCTTTGAACCAAGGTCCCACAGACCCTGCAACCTGCCCTACAAAGTTGGTGACCCTCCGCATCTAAGGCCCCTTATCGAATCTTATCAGATGTTATCAGCTTCTGTCACACACCAATCATGTCCACTTCCCTTACCCTATACCACGTCTCGAAATCAAGGTCCCACGTTCACAGCTAAGAATTTGGTGCCCCCCGCGGCTAAAGTCCTTTATCGGATCTTATCATCTTCTGTCAGCCACCACCCTATCGTGTAACTCCTTGAAATCACGGTCCCGCAGCTGCTGCAACTTGCGAATCAGTCACCCTCCCCTTCTACGGCCCCTTATCGAATCTTATCAAGTGTTATCACCTCCTGTCACCCACCAAAAGTGTTCCCGTCCTGCCGTTAGCAATCACTTCTCTGAAATCAATGTTCATCACTATTGGGACCGGCGCTATGAATTTCGTGACAAACAGACAGACGGACAGACACACACACGCATGGACATAGCGGATTATATGTAGTAGGATATTATGCGAAGCGTAGTTGCAGTATAATATTTATTATGATCTACAGCGAATAAATACCAAACACCCTCCCTTCCCACCCGATCGATTTCTTCATTCGCGTTCCTGTTGCAGACGCAGCAACACCAAGGAAACCTATGCTGCGAGCGAAAGAGCAGCACATGCGAGACGAAGGAGATCTCGAAGTAAGGGTGAAGCCCCCAACATCTCGCCTCACCGTCAAGAAACCAAAAAATACGATTCAAGTAACCACCCTCAGAATATGAAATAATTCGTTGTTTGATTCTGTCAGAAGTTGATACTAATAAAAACGAAGCGGTTCAATCCGCGTGGCGCACTTCTCCCTCAGCAAACTGGAGAAAAACTGCCGGAGTGGCCCCGCGTCGACATTTCCCGCCCTTTTTGGGCGCCAGAGTCGATACAGTCGATAACCAACGCGGTAGGTCACGACATGATCACTACGATCGTCACCACTGATCTCGCGAGCCACACCGGCACCTGAAGTACAAAATGAAAGGAAAAGAACGGTGAGAGACCGGCTAGGCTCGGAAGCAAAGCCTAATTGGTATTTATTCGCTGTAGATCATAATAAATATTATACTGCAACTACGTTTCGCATAATATTATACTTCTTCAATCATCCAGCCCTTACCGTTTCTTTCGTATTTTCACACAGGGCACATCATTAGTTGGTAAGTTCGGTCTAGTCCGTACTACCCCCACCTGAAAGGTGACTTGATACGACCCCCCCCTTTTTTTACGGTTTCGGGTTGTTGTTTTTTTCCAGGGCACATCTTGCCGCTAGGAAAATTTTTGAAAAA